TATTTATATTCCCATTACGAAATTATTTAAACAATAATGTTGTGTAGTATCGTATCTACAGTACATAAATGATATTTCATATAATAACGAACACCTTTATTATGGAACAAAAATGTCCGCTGGCCCCTTCCAGACTGATCGGCTGGATGCGCCCCTGCCTGAAGGCGCCTCCGCGAGGGGCGGGCAACCGAATTCCAGAGAGAAATCGCTTGACTACGCCCCGCGCTCGCCTCTCCCCAGGGCAAACGGAAATGTAACATAATGTAGCCGCAAAACCTAGAAATGAGTTATTAAGCGAGACCATTCACAATGCCTGGACGTAACCGCAGACGGAAATCCGGAAACATAAGAGTTTGTGAGAAACATAAAGGCCCGTTCACAATACGAACGTAAACATAAGCATAGCACACACACACACACACACACACACACACTTATGTTTATATATATATATATATATATATATATATATATATATATATATATAAGCACAAGTGATAGACTGAAGTATTCACAATGTCTAACATAAACGTAAGCAATATTAGAGTTTCTACTGTGCCATTCTGGTTTAGTATTCGTTGGATGTGAGAATCGATTTCAAGGTATCGACTGTGTCCACAGCCCATATGGCGTTAGCTCTTCCACGAATTCTTCGTACTTCGCTCCAATTTCGATTCTCGATTCTGAGTTACCGTTCTGTGATTGGGTCATTTCATATGTCTTACTTAAGCATAAGCACAGAAGCTCGCAGCTTGTAAGCTTTTAAGTTAACGTCTTACGTGTTATGCTTATGCGAACGCATTGTGAATGAGTCCGCTTATGGACGTATTAACTTTTATGTGAACGCCGTATTAATGTTTATGTTTGAATTGTGAATGGGTCTTAATAGTGATAGCAACGTTTCGGAAAATATATATTTCCATCTTCAGTCTTAATGTCAAAAACAAATAAATAGTATATAATAAATATGCTCGTTAATGCTTTTGACATTAAGCCTGAAGATGGAAATAATTATTTTCCGACATTTTGCTATTACTATTAAGTTTCACGTGTTATATATTGATATAAACCGGTTATATTGTAATAATTTTCTGTCTATAAAATGAGGGCCAACAACAGTCTGGCTATTTTGAAATGACCACCGACAGAAGAGTAAATAATAATGCATCCGGGCCGTGCGCGCGCTCACCTCGGGCTTGGCGCGGCGTGGCAGGCTGTGGTGGTGGTGCGCGAGGGCGGGCAGCGGCGGCAGCGACGGCTTCAGCACGCCCTTGTGCGCGGCGGGCGCGGGCGGCACGGGCGGCACGGGCGGCACGGGCGGCGCCGGCGCCGGGGCCGCCTTGGTGGGCGACGGGGCGGCGGGCGGCGCGGGAGGTCCGGAGTTGAGCGCGGGGTCGAGATGGAGGTCGTGGGCCCGGGGGCCCAGGGGCCGAAGGCGCGTCTCGGGCCGGTGTCAGGACGAGCTGCCGCCCATGGTGGAGACGACGGACATGGCGATGCCCTCGCCGTCCAGCACGTCCAGCATGAGGTCCTCGTCGTCGTCGCCGCCGCCCCCGCGGCCCGCACCACCCCCCGCGCCGCCCACGCCGCCCGCGCCGCCGTTGTTCGCGCCGCAGTACTGCGCCAGCTTGCGCACCACCTGCAAACGAGGCGTGCGGTCGGCATTTTCTTCTCATTTGGTTGGCCAATGAACAGTGAAAACTGTACGTGGCGTATGAGTACATTCTGCGCACGTTTTCCTGATTTCTGGAAACCTTTCGTGACCACAAATTGCTGACTGATAATAAAGCAGGGTTTCTAACATTTGAAAATATAAATTTCGCTCTCGAGTTACAGAAAATTGATTGGATTGGTAATCGAAACACAGAATTGTTAGTATTTATAAAGCAATAGTAACACATACCCTGGCCCTATTCCTATCACAACTAGCTAAAGGAGAGTTCTACTAAACGTGCGCAGAGTGAAGCTACATTTATGTTCAGATGCAAAACAAAGTGCAATCTCAATATTCGGTCAATGAATCAGGGAAACTGAGTAAAAATATGATCAAGGTGGAGTCCTAGAAGCTGAAATACATTAAAACATTAATGAATTACATTTTAATGCGAATTCATCCAATCTAAAGCTGGCAAATGCAATAGTTTAATATTTGACATTTTCTCAAATCCATGATTTTTTAGAATTACAATTCTGAAAGTTTATATAACTCCTCGAAACTTGAATCTGTCAAATTCTTCCTGGTCTAAGGTCGCGACGGTATAGTGTGCTTGGGTGTCCAACATATGGGGCATTGAAATACCTGAGGTTCATCGTAAAAAAAATACGCCATAAAGGAAATAAGAAACGCTACAAATAGCGGAATTCAAATTATTATTTTGAAAAGCAATTAAATTCATTCGGCTTTCTAATTCATTAGCTCATTGCAATTTAAGTTTGTGTGATATGACGCAAGTACTTGTCATCTATTTATGGTTTTTCAGTATATAGGCTTTTAAAGTTTTGCACTTTTGAATTTTATTTACGTTCAGAAATTAATAGTAAGCATGAATTCAATGACCCTGGAGATAATTATTATTTATTACAAATTCATTCAGAAAACCGTTTTGCATTGCATGTCTTTTGTACTGGCGCACATTAATAATTTACTTAAGTACACACTTTTCTCGCAAGGTTTCCCTTCACTCACTTATCCCTTTCTTCACTTTCAAAGAACTAAATGTTCTAATCCTAATGTCCTATCCCATTCATGAAGTAAAAACGAAGAAAAGTTGCTCTCGTTTGTCGCAGAATCTGTACCGGTATGACAAAAAAATTGGCCCATGGGATAAGAGGTTGTCTTCCCCTCTTATAATGTGCAAACATAAAAGAATATTTAAGTGTGAAATTTAGCGAAATTAAAACTAAAATGTGTAACAATGCATTATAATTATATAACTACTTCTTCTAAGAATTTCAGTAAGGTACTAAGTAACAACAACGTCAAGACAAACCATTATTTATCTCGTAAAATGATTTTTCGACTTTTGTTAATTGATTTTGGAACTTCTGCTTTTAAACTGTTTCATTTCTCTTTCGTTCTATTGAAATATTTGTCGTTAGTAAACAATCGCGTTGCATTGATGTAAATCGTAAAGATTCATCGAACCATTTTGAATATTTGCAGCATTCAATGTTTCAAATGTCATATCTAGATTTGATACGACTGTTTATAAGAGCTTCATTAGAGACATAAACTTCAAAATTAACATTGATTAAGTGGAAAAAATATGTCGGTAGCATTAAACCCACTAACTTCGTACAAAGTCTCTAGTTACAAGTGCGATGATAAAGAGGAAACAGAAGCTTTAACAAAACTGCTCTTCGAAATAAGGTACATGAAATAAAATTAATAGTTAGTTACATTTCTAATATTTATGAATAAATATGAGAGTTTTCAAGGAAATACATATATTTGAATACAAAATTGCGACCCACACATTTATGGATTCTTTTTGCCATCATCAGACCCTCAACTTTTCTTCAATATTCAGCAACGTGATTTATCATTATGTGTAATGTCTGTCGTGACATTCATAATTTTATTTGAATCATGTAAGAGGCACAGAGGTTGAAACTTTAAAATGAGGTAATGGAGATGATGTAGGAGACTGAGCAACTTTTCTTGAGGATGAGAAAGAAGACGATGAAAAATGAAAAGAAGCAAACGAAAAGTAAGCAAGCTGTGCACTGAAGAGTAACATTTATGGTTTTAGATCATCGGTAGAAGAGGGAAAAGCCACACATGAGAACTATTTTTCGTTCGTTACGCATAACTTTACGAGTTTTTCATTTGTTCCAACAGCACTAGAAAAACTGATCCAGCCTGAAAACTAATGGGTGTTCATGTACATAACTCACAAGTATTATCACAAAATATTTATTTTACATTAACCTGTAACCAGATCAGTTAAAAGTATCTCGAGGTGATTAGACTTCGTGAAAAATAATATATAAGAACGTTGTCAAGGATAGATAAAGATAGTGAAGAAAAATAGAAAAAATGGAATGCACAATATAAATACATATATGACATTTATTGATCTGGAAAAGGCCTATGACAGTGTTCCAAGATGTAAAATTTTGCCAGCAATGAAAAGACTGAAAGTGCAAGAAAAATGGATTAATTTAGTTATTATTATGGAAATTAGAGAATTATGGAAATCGAAAACGGCAAACTCTAAGGGGTAGAAACCGTCGAAGAAGAAGAAGAAGAAGAAGTAGAAGAAGAAAAATAGTAATTCGGTCGAATCTTCATTTCTTCCTCGTGATTACAAAGAATTTTCTGAACCAAAAACCCATTTAATTTGGGTGTATGATTTAAATCACATGCTTATATTGCACTTTTCGCGAATGTCTAGATTAAAAAACTTTATTTAAGACTCAAAATAATTTCATTCTGTAGTCCCTGAAATATGCGAGAAAAATATATTTATGTTTTTTAGAAAATTTAGAGAATAGACATTCAGGTAACATCATATTTAATACTTTTCCATGAACAAGATTTTCTTTAATTGAGGTACATTAATAACTAGGAATTTTACTCAATTGCAGAGGTCATAAGTGAACTGTATTATAGATACCAAGGGTTTATTTTTGTAACACTTTTAGCTGAAAGCCACAGATTGATGGATACAACAGAAAAATAAACATGCGAAGGATGATAAGGAAGAGCGGGTTGTTTCCAAGATTTTCAGAACATTCCGGGATTTAAGTTTTGATGAAATATGAATGTGTTATGAAATTATAGATGCTGCTAACATAATAACTTGACTTATGCATTTGAGAAAACTCTTTGGAGAAAATGAAGAGTTCATTATTATTTATTGAACTTAAATATAAGTGAACGATGGATATGTGCTCACATTACTACTTTTCAAATGTTTTGTTCTCAATAATACATCAGAACATTTCTGTAATTCCTACAAACCAAGAGAAACAAAAAGTGTTCTTAAGAACTGAACTCATTGCAATACCTGCAGTAATTTCGAAACCAAATAAGCGAAAAATTAATTAACATGCAATACCTCTGGGAGGTACGAAATATTCGGGCCTTTCCGAGATTTCGCACGTGTCTTGCCATGGGACCTTCCGACCGACCCGTCCGGCGCCCGGCGCCGCATCCTTAGAAACGCCCCTGGGGACGGGAAAAAGGATGCGTTAATTCCTGCCAGGTTTCCACTGACATCAGGAATAGGATCAAACAGGCTACTTGCTCAAGTATTTGCAGCGAATTACTATATTCTATTTTATGTTGAGCGAAAACGCGTACAGAAGTTATTCGATTATTTTGCAAACGAACAAGAATTTATTCTGATGTTTGTTGACACCAAAACAATGACATTATTTTTCACGTCGAATTTTGGTGTGTGTATTTTATTTGAGTAAAGCTTTTTGGCACGTCTGGAAGAATCATTATACTGGAAACACGAAATAAGAAAGTTTATAAAATAGGTTAGTTCCTACATAAATTAAATGTAAACAAAATAATACCAATTTGATACAATTGAAATACTGTTCATTGAAAAACGACAAATTTATAGAAATATATTCATAGAGCTTTATTTGAACGAGTATTTTTGTTACTATCTTCATAGTAATATTAGTTGTTTTAGGAAGTATGTATTCACCATAAACAGATTTAAGAGCGGAAATTTTGGCAGGAATTAATATCTTACGGACGTAAAAAATCTATCTGTAAAATTGTGGGGTTATGCAGGGATTAATAAGTCTTCATAATGTGAGAGATACACATTTCATCTAACTGATTACAAAAATATATTACATTCTTTTCAATGTTTATGTTGCATATGTTTTATATACAAACCTTCTTACTTGTAATAAAATTATCACGTAAGAATAATTTTCGAAACGATATTTAATTTTTCTATTTCATAATTTATAATGTTCAACGCTACATAATTCATGCATAAAACTTAAGAAATGAACTGTACGTGTTATTTTGCAGTAAATGAAAGTCAAATTAGTTTTAAATTAATTTTGTTTGCTTAACATTTATATATTAACACAAAAATCAAATTATCGCATCGGAATGTAGAGAAAAGCTTTGAATTTTTGGAGAAATTTTGTTAGATCTCTCTTGCAAACAAAATTATTGTTTTCACAATGCAGATTGCCATCAAGGAGTTTTCCTCAGAGAAGGGTACTGGGGGATTATGATAGAAGGGGAAAACAATATTAACAAAAATTAGCGGCAAACAAACTAGAAAGGTGGAAAGTAGATGAAGCAACCCTTTCCAAAAGAGAAAAGGCAAAAAGAAAAACAAGTATAGCCGATCAAAACGAAGAAATCCGACTCATAGGAAGAGCGGCGCGAAGCAAAATCAAATGAAATACGGAAAACTCGCAAGAATAAAAGAACAAGCCTTCCAGGAAGAAACATGCGAAGCCCCGAAAAATGTTCCAACAAGAAATAAGATGCAAAGCACAAAGAAAAACGTTCCCCCGCATGAAAAAGAAGTTACAAAACAAATTAAACTCGGCCCGAAGAAAAAATGAGAAGTTGGAGTTAAATATAAGCGTGCAAAAAAGCAAAAAGATAGATTTAGATGTCCAAGTAAAATAAATAAACCCATCGGACGTGCAACAAAAGCTGACAGAAGTAACTGGAGAAAAGGACTTAAAAGTTAATTGTGGTTAAAAGTGAAGAAAACGAAAAAGAAAGATAAAAATAATAACACTAGGGAACAAAATTTTTACCTCCAGGAAGGTAGGGTACGCAACATACTTCTCATATCAGGTCACAGGTTTTAAATATACCGTTTATTTTACCTATTTTGCTATTAATGCAAATACATTTAGATTGCATTTGTAAGATATCAAGATATCAATACGTATACAATCTATTTAAAAATAAAATATTTATTCAGTTCATCAAAGCCACTTTCAGGCGTTATCAACAAAATTAGAATTTCGCGTTTTGTTTTTTACCTTCTGTATTCGAAGACTGCCGTCTTGATTCACGCGTGTGGTAATCGCGCTCGACTAGAGTAGGTCTTGGTGGGCTTCGTAGGACTTGGTTGATGTTGTAAAAACAAGTCACGAGCAGTCTCGTATTCTGTATTGCGCGTCATCGAAAGGAATTATTTTAGATCCTTACCTTAACACAAATATACAAGTATCCATCTTTTGGGGTGTCAGATTCTGAGTGAGTTGGTGTCATGCGGAACCCCACCCGCACTGCACGAGAAGTTCTTGCCTAGTTTGCGTGTGTCCAATACATTAATACATTACAGTTTTATGGATTTAATAAAGTGAATAATCTGTCGCCACATAATCTGTAGAATTGAATCGGTTCAAAAAATGCAAATCGTCTTTTCACATCAAAAATGTGCGAATCAACATGATAATTTCTGTTACGTTTGAGGAAGATCACGCCCAAACTTTAAAGGAAACAAAATATATGAAATTACTTAACTCGCGTATTCTTTTTACTGTGACTGTCGTGTTTGTGATAGGGACAGGCTGTGGTTTGCTCACAAGTGTTGTATCACCTGTTCAACGAACCTTAGGTTGTGTTTGTATGGAAAACGCAAATCATTCGCTCTACCAATGTACCCACAAACCATTTTGATGTCAACGCATTATTGCACGAATATACATATTGCATTTTTAACTTGTTCTTACTTCATATGAATCTTGTTCGTGAAATTTTGTAGTAATATAACCAGGGTGACAATGCGGATATCAGTATAGGATTTTGTTTATTTCAAATACTAAGTATGCTCATATTTTTTGAACTTCGCGTGATAAAGGCTTTTTATAATGATTTTCGAAATCATCGTGATCGTTTCCTTTCCTTCTTTCATTCTGGAGGTATGAAAGTTATTTTTGTTCCTTAGTGTAAATGATCAAATCCGTTAGCGAAAAAAATATTTCTGCTTAAAATATTTTACATTGAAAGCAATCGAACGTAAAAGGCGTTTATAAAAGCAAATGCAGAAAAAAACAAATAAGGAAAACAAAAAATAAATAAATAAAAAAATCGACTGATGAAAAAAAAGGCACCCGCAAACAAGTGAAAAGGTGAAGCGGCAAAAGAAGCAAAGAAGGCGTAATCTCCAATACAAACCAAACAAACGCGGCTGCGAACACGGATTTACATTTCACACATGCTGATGACGGTCTGTCGCAGTACGCACCACCACCACCTCGTCCTGCACCAGGTTGAAGCACATGGCGATGAGCGCCATGCCCAGCAGGATGTAGGCGGACGAGGCGAAGACGGAGAGGTGCTCGGCGACGGCGGCGGCGGGCGCGGGCAGCGCGGCGTTGTGCGCCAGCCCGGGGATGAGGTCTCCGAAGCCGATGGTGCCGAGGCTGGTGAAGCAGAAGTAGGAGCCCTCCAGGAACGTCCAGTTCTCCAGCCGGTGGAAGAGCAGCGCGCCGCCGCAGATGTACAGCACGACGATGAGCAGGCACAGCCAGATGGGGATGCGCACGGGGTCGCCGCCGGCGCCGCCGCAGCCGGGCGTGGAGGCGTCGTGGCGGCGGAACTTGGCCGACGGGTCCAGCGACGAGGTGGACGACGCGCCCACGCCGCCGTCGCCGCCCCCGCAGTCCAGCACCGCCATGGACGCGCTGCGCCCCAGCTTGCTCAGGTCCTCCGCCGCGCCGTCGCCCCCGTGCGAGTGGTAGTGGTGCACCTGCAACGCAACAACACACCGTACTTGCACGCCACGCCCACCGCCCACCTGCCCATTCAGTGATTACGCAGGCACAAATGCTGTCAGACCCAAAGACTCGACACATATTTCTCTAAGTATGTCGACGCGCTGAAGTCAGAATTGCGCCATCACCCTCCAGTTTTTTTCTTCGCGATAAACTGGAAGGTGGTGCTGCAATTCTGCTTTAGATTTGGATTCAGCACGTGGATATACATAGAGCGCGTAGATATACATACATGTGTCAAGTATTGGGTCTGAAAACCTTTGACTTCTGTAGAGAATAATTATACAAGTCACCAAAACCTAGTATTCACATGTGTTTGATTTCAAAAAGGAACTGGAGGGTGGTAGCTCAATTCTGGATTCAGATTCGGATTCAGTGCGTCGAAATTCATAGAGAAACGTGTATCAAGGGTCTGACAACTTTTTTTTAAATTTTTTATGCCTGTGAGGGTGGCGTTTCTCAATTGCAGTTAATTTTCGGAACAAGATGCGGTACATTGAGTGCTTTTGGCTGTCCGGGTAACGTCGCGTCGGAGGTTGTCATCCCTTTGTTTCAACCATCTTGTCGTCCAGCCCTTTGGCGTGAAGTCACTCGGAGAGCCAAGATAACTCGCAAGAATCTACGCGCGGAAGTCTACGACTTCACATGCGCTATATACTTTTTCATGGAAAACATCTTGATAATTTATTTTCAATTATGGTAGTTTTGATCTTCACCTTCTTCATTCAAATCTAAAGCGATCATAACCAATTTCTTTAAGCTAAAAAGTAATTATAGATGTAGTGGTTTAAAGCTAACTGATATTTTCCGGTTTTGGCTGCTCTGTAGAAACTGAATCCGAGTGCGAACAGCTAGTCATTTTATTCTGTCCATTGTCGGGACGCTGGCGTTTCGGAACGTGTGAAAAGACATTAGGGAGTTTTAGCGCCATGCGTAAGGAGACATCCTTAAACTCAATTGATCACGTAACTAACGAGTTTATACCGTCGTAAAGAAAAACATTTAGAAAAGTTTTAGAAGTGACGTCATTGCGTTTTGCACTATATAAAAATAAGCATTTCAAGCATTGAACAAAGAAGTTGCATAATATATCAAAGAGTGTACACTGGTGGTGAGACATGTAAACCACGTTACGAGTCAAGAGTATAATAAATCTACATTGTGCAAAGAGTTTTAGATTTCACCGATGAGTATGCAGTTTGGAAGTTTGAATTTTATTTTATTATTTTTTATTTTTTTTGAGAATGTAGAGAATAAAAAACAGCGTTCGTTGTTAGCATAAGACATAACCTAACCCGAAGACATGATTTAAACTCCTTTTTCGCGAATTTCTTAACTGCCACCTTTCCAACATTCCCGTTAATTCTTGCCAGCGTTGTGGAGTTTGTAGGTTGTATAATTGTAACTGCCTCACATACGAGAATCGGTTTATCAGAGTTGGAAAAATGAAACTTTTTCCGTTTTAGGCGGCCATTTTGGCATTTGTAAGGTGACCGTAGACTCCCAAAGACGTGCTCTATTTGTAAAGGTATAAGGCTGTACCTAAGGCTTTAAGACGCTATGACTTCAAGGTCAGTCACGTGACTGTTAGTGCATAACGTCGCTACCTGCGTGGCGATAAAACTCTAAAGTTGCAGAGGCCATCAGCCAGCACGACGGCCGAAGCAGACGCGCCTTCGGCACAACACGGACCTTCGACAGCTGCGTCTCTCCGGCGGCGACCGACTGAGGTATCTACCCGACTAAGGTAGCGGCCTTAGGCCGCTTGCAGCAGGTACCTGCTTCGGTCCCTTTGTTCGTCGTCGCCGGAGGGTCTTCTGCCGCGGCGTGGGAAGCCGCCCTTAGGGCAACAACTGTGCTCGCAAGCGCCTTTAGGGCAACAACCTAAGAGCAACAACTGTGGTCGCAGCAGAGTCCCTGAACGGGAGGTACTTAGGTTCGAGTCCCGGCGGGGCGGACTTTCGACACTAGGAAGCCGAGTCGAATTCAGCCGCTGGGCGGCCTGGAGAATTCTAGAGACCGGCTGTTCTGAGTAGTTGTTGTCGGTGGTTTCTCCGATCAATACCACGCGAATGCTAGAGCAGTACCCTACGAAGCGGGCCACGGATCGTGCGCGATCTTTCCCTCCCATTCCTTGTCCTATCCTAGCCCTTACACACACACACACACTTACATGCACTACACTATCACACATGCCGAGAGACCGGTCGGGAGCTTAGAGCTTGTCCCTGCTAGGGCGGTGCCCCGCTCGTAGGAAATATCTGTTTGGGGAAATCTCCTCTAGTCGACGGCAGATCGGCGACGGATCTCGCCATCAAGCAGGGACAGTTTATCGCCACATCCCGAAGAAAAGATGTATTACTCTTACGGAAATAATAATTTTAGCTACTCACATGACCGGAATCAATAGGAATCAAATCAAATCAAATCAACCGACGTGTAGGTTATTGCCGAATTTATGTTCTCCCGTTTTTTAATGCGTCACCGATCAACACGATGTGCGTCAACTTGTCTTTCAATGCTGTGTCTCTTCGAGCCGAGGAGATGATCCGCCCAGGGGCGGTTGGTAACTTTATGGAATTCACTATTCTGCACTTGAATTTAAAACTTATTGTTAGTGCATCCTGTTTCGCGTACATTAAAGGAATAGATTTAATTAAAGTGAAGCGATTCAGATTTCAGATAAAATGAGAAGCAAAGAGGAATTTCTTAAGAGTAAAACATGAAGACCTTCATAAGACGGCGCTAATTAACAGACTCAAAGCAATTTCATTTACTTTATCCTACAAGCCATCTTAAGCTATTTGAGTAAGTACATCACGTAATTAGTATTAAATTACCTTCTCACCGATGGTGATACATTTCAGGCAAGACTTTTCAACAAATATCTAATTTTCAAAATATCGACATCATAAAGATATTTGTGGGAAAGGTCGGAAGAAATGCAGTGTGTTACAATGATACACGATACGAGAAGTTAAGAAGGAAGAGAAGAAAACTTTCACGAACAAAATCAAGTATGTATTATCAATTTTGAAAGACGATTTATTTGCCTTTATATGGAATTTTCTTTACAACTTTGTGGCTTTATATGAAGTCATATTCCAGAGAACATATATTCGGAATCACTTTATCACTGTTGGTTCTACTGATTTAGGATGATTATGCGGAGAGACAAGAGAATACTGACCACTGGCGTAAGCAGACAGGCGCTTGTCTTGACACGTGCTTGACAAGATTACTGCACTCAATTACTTTATGACTTCAAAACGAGAGTCCTAAAAGGTGTATGATCTTAAAAATTATACAATTCTCGAACCTGCTTTTATCTTTATAAAACCAGTTTATTTTTTGATGTTTAACTGTAGAAAATGTTTAGAACCGTTTAACTTTGCAGTGTTCTCTTTTCAGATGCAATTCTTATATGATGTAATTTGGTGCAGTTCCACTGTAAAATCATGAAAATATCACCTGATGCACCTTTTTGAGTGCAGTTAAAAGGAATTGTGTTTTTAATGCCGAGTAAGAATGTCGATGAAGGTAGTTATTTATTTCCAAATTCTAGTTCGTGATTTCTGATTTTCAATCTTGTCTGCATTACCGTTTACTGGAATTAGATTCAGGTAGTAAAATGTAAATATTTACTCTCGGGATACAAATAGGACAAGCAGATACGCAGTTTAATTTACGGCTATTCCTGATTAGAATGACATCCGAAACATTTAAGAGAAACACTTAAATATTTAGATAAATGATCAACGAAAATAAAAGCTGCACGAAGTATTGTTTCGTCACAGTTACATTGGAGCGTTGTGAATTATTGATGTTCACTTCTTTCCTACAGCGTGGTAGCTTTCCCAAGCCTTGCTGAGAGGGTGACAAATTCAGAAAGAGGGGATTCCATTATCCAATCAGAGACATTCGGATGACGTCACTGCAGAGTTGCTATTCCAAGCGTGAAATAAATACCAATAGTGTTTAACTATACACATAAAATGCCCAACCATGGCGGTGTGTCTCAAAAACATGTATTATACCCGATTTTTCTTCCAGCTTCTCCCTACTGGCCAATAATAAGCTGCGACTCATCTTCAGAGGCGATATGCGTCGATAGCTGTGTAGACATGCAAGAAATTGCGTATGTACTGTAACAATCTCTTTGATTTCAACGTACCGTTCAGTTATTATCAATATTTTGGAACTCTGTTGGACGTAATTTTTTTCATGGAATAGTCTTATTAATAACAATTCGTGCTTTGGAAATTCGTAGATAAATCTCCTCTTCGCTTCGCTTCGCGGAGAATTTTAGAAAATTTCCAAAGCACTTGACTAAGGAGGGGATTTTTATGATTTTGCATATTTGTGTCCGTTGCTTCAGAGCATAGTGAAATTTCTTGACATTTGGTTAGAATTGGATGCTATGTCGATTAATATGTTAGTGCATATTTATGCATATTTGGCCAATTTTTCCTGTTGGTACATATTATCTCGTAATTATAGGGACATATTTCGCATATTTCCTTACAATAGACACTAAACCATTTCAACTTTTCATACTATCTATTTATTTGTGAGCTTTTATCGATTACGAAGAACTTGTCACAGTTTGCTCTTTTTTGTTTAAATGATAAAATACTTGTGCAAATGTAGGAGATTTCAAGATAGATTTTTTTTCAAATCAGGCAGAAGAATACAAGATAAAGTACTTCACTGAGGTGAATATTTACTTAAAGTATTTCTCCCACGAAGTAATGTAGATTATATTCTGTTTGCATAAAAATATATCTTTTCATACCCAGTACGCTTCTACTGAATTTTATCAAGAAAGGTTAATGCAAGAAATGAAATTATATACCAATAATATTAACATACCTCATAACTCCAGATTGGACAGCATCACGATGAAAATCATAAACATAGCCGGGAAGCATAACTTTCGTTTCCTTTCTTATTGAACTTATAAATACTGTGGAAA